GCTATGATCATTTAAACCCTCAAGGAGCAGTGTGAGCTGAGCAGTGGGGACTGAGAGAAACTTACTCTACAGGAATCTCCTATGTCTGGCCAGAGAGAGCCACAGGGTGGATCAGAGCTGGCTTATCGTGAGGGGCAGCAGCAACTCCAAGAGAGGGAGGATGTGACCGTGAGCCCCCACAACAGACCCAGGAGCCTCAGTGTCGGGGCTGCCGTAGCAGTGGATGCTCTTCAGGTCAGTGTGGGTTAGAGGGAATAACCATGTTGGAGAAGGGTTGGAGACATCCATTCTTCCATTAAACAGCTCTGCCCCTGGTCAAGTGCCAGAGTAAGTGTCCCTTGCTTGTATGTGAAGCAGTGATACTAATAATATTCTTCTGCACCTTCAGTTGAGGGAAGTTTCTCATAAATATTTATTGAGCATGTAATTTTCTTTATACTGTGCTAAGCACTTGGGATTCAGGTATTTAATGTCTCTCTAAAGAATCTCAAGCCAGTGAGTGGAAGAATACACACAGATGATTTCAATGAGATACGGTAGTTCTACCCAACTGAGGTGTTGTGGGTGCCCGGAGGATGGGAGGGCATGTCAAAGGACATTGCTCCTAATGATGGGGAAGCATAAGAGAACATTTTCAGGGCAGGCTAGTCTTCCTTCAAGCTCCCACAGGAGAGGCTCCTGGGCATGGATGGTGTAGGGCAGGTGCCTCTCTAGGGAAGGGGATTTGCAGCATTCTCAGAGAAAGAGCATCCCTTACAAGACAGTGGGGACAGAAATGTAGGTGAAAGAATTGGAGGTTTGTACTCAACTTTATTCAGTCATGGATGAACACTGAGAGGCCCCTCTGTGCTGGGCCATTAGCTAAGAACCATGACCACAGAGGTGAGTAAAATAGGATCCCAGCTTCCACAGAATTCTCAATCTAGTGACTGGTGATTCATGAGAAGTGCAGTGTCGGTGGGTTCATTGGAAGCAGTGGCCCATGCCTCATGCGATGACCTCAGTGGATGGCCTGGGCCAGTGACCCTGGAGTTCAGCCATATTTCAGCATCTCGAGGTATAGTACACCAACACTTCAGCTCATGTTGAGTCAAAGCAGTTAACACAGCCAAGGTATTCAGAGGACACTGATGTTATCAGTAGCTATTGACTGTTTCCAGCTGGGGAAATAAAGACGTAAATTTAATAATTAGTCCTTGCCATAATGAGAAATAACTTTATCCAGAGTAGAGCAGACACACAAGCCCTTGAGGACACATGCCTGAGGATTCTGATGAAGATATGATGTCCGAGTATGTGCACAGTTGGACCTACAGTCGAGCTTTGAAATAGTGGAAGACCTGGTTTCAAATTCAAGGTTGCTTTGAGTAGAAATTCACTTTACCTCTCTTTGCATGGCAATGGGGCCAATCTTCCCTAAGCCGCTCCTTACAAGAAAAGAAATGATACTGGTAAGAATTCAGACGTCAGCACACATGGGTGAGTAAGGAAGTCTTGTAAATCTGTTGTAGCCACCTAGCAAGAAACCAGAAATTTAGCAAGTTCATTCCCATTCAGGACAGTTGTGTTCACTAGATCAGAGGCCCTGAGACATGAAGAACATACCCTCTAACAAGGGAAAGTGTTTCTTCCTGTCCTAGGACATCACTGCCAACTTCAGGGAAGCGGGAACTCAGCTGCCCGCTTTACAGTATGGGCTGCTTTTGTGCCTGGAATGTGTCTGATGTCCTGAAGCCTGTACCCATTTCAGGGAGCCTTGAGAGGGGCCTGAATCACTGATGGAATTGGACAGTGCATGGAGATGGTTGAGCAGGACGAGGATAAGTGCAGGGGCATGGCCAGGTCATACTGGGAGACAGTGAGCGGCCCTGACGGGGACAGACAAAGATAAAATCAAAAGTGTGTGCTTCAGTGAAAAAATTCAAACCAATAACTAGTTTGCTTTCATAAGCAATAAGTATTTTTCTATTTACATGAGAATTTAATCTCAAAACAGAAGTTATAAAAATAGTAAGTCCAGGGCATAAAACCTAAACTATAGCTCATATTAATTCTTTCTAAATAGAGCTATAAGTGAAATCTTCTTCATAAAACGTATATTGTGGCTATAAGAAGGCAAAAGTCGGCCAGGTGCGGTGGCTTGCGCCTGTCTTCCCAGCACTTTGGGAGGCCGAGGTGGGTGGATCACGAGGCCAAGATATGGAGACCATCCTCGCCAACATGATGAAACCCTGTCTCTACTAAAAACACAAAAATTAGCCGGGCGTGGTGGCACATGCCTGTAGTCCCAGCTACTTGGGAGACTGAGACAGGAGAATCGCTTGAACCCGGTAGGCAGAGGTTGCAGTGAACCGAGATTGCACCACTGCATTTCAGCCTGGTGACAGCAAGACTCTGTCTCAAAATAGAAAAGAAAGAAGGAAAAAAAAGCAAAAGTCTTAGAATCATTGGCATTCCATAGAAGAGAGAATTAAATACAGTCAAGGGAAGACCCAAGTCTCATACTTCTCTTGTATATTCCAAAGGTCCAGGGAAATTCCACATCTAATTCCATGGAAGATAGAGGGTATTTTCCACGCTCTTAAAGCAAAGTTGCAGACACTTCTGACTTTTGATTCTAATATCTTAGGAGGGCATACCTCTGTCCTGGAAAATGATACAGGAATGAATACTCATCCTGTGACTCATTCTGGTCATTTGTCCAGCATCACAGAAACCAAAAACTGGAAATCTGGGCAAATTCATGATTTGCTAGCCCTCTTGTTCAGGTTTCTTACCTGATTCTTAGGAGAACAGCATTACCTTGAGGATGATGATGAAGATATGCTGTCCAAATATGTGCAGAGTTTTGAGCAAAATGCCTGGTACAAATTGGTCAACAAAAAATTACTGAATAATTATATGAATATTTTCTGAATGACATGGATCCTATGAATAATTATGGAATAATTGTTGTGATTGCTTTTATTGGCAGTGCTCAAAGCTCATCCCTGTGTGACCTGAAGTAAGCCACATAACTTGGTCAAGCTGCAGTTTCATCATTTTTATAGTGAAGAAATCTGACAGATTTTCCTTCTGCCACAGAATGTCAGGCCTCCCAGACCCCAGAACATGTATATACCTAAAGCCTTTGATGTATGTCAAAGCCGTATGCTTAC